CCAGCAAAGATCAGCCTCTGCTGATCTGGGGGAATGCCTTCCTTGTCCTGGATCTTAGCCTTGACATTCTCAATGGTGTCACTGGGCTCGACCTCAAGGGTGATGGTCTTGCCAGTCAGGGTCTTCACGAAGATCTGCATGGTTTAACCTATGTAGAGTGGAGGGGGGGTGGGGGTCCGGGTTAGAAAATGATCTAAACATCTTATTTAACATTAGACGTGTGGACATAAACTAAAAAGAAACAGTTGTCACTTCGATTTACTGCAGCTTCTGTCTCTTAACAAAAGGCAGCAATAACTTTCTCTGTAATGTTGGACAGGGTCATATTTAAGTTCAAATATTAGCTGTGTCACCAATAGTAATAAAAATGTTTATTTGTAAACTCGGTTTATAGCTCCCGACCATCGGCAGCTAAGCAGCCATTTCGGCCCGAGCGCCATTTTGAGATCTTATTGACGCTCCTTTTGTTCAGCTGACGTTACCCGCTAATGGACGATACTGGAAGTGGTGAGTCACTGCAGTAGCTAGCTTTAGCTGTTCACTGCGGTGGCGTAGCTTTGACGAAATCGACGATAATCGTACAAACGGTGATATTCTTCAACACCATGATAACGTAATGAAACTAAACAACCGGATTTTAATGTGGATTCAACGTTTTGAAACCGATACCACCGTTGACGATTGACTAAGCGAAGCTGGAAGACAACAACACACAAACTAAGACGCTGCTGTTGTTGTGTGAATATAACAACACTTCAATGAGAACAAATATAAACAGTCTACTTACGTTAAAGTAACGTAGATTGAATTCTCGGGAGTAGGACCGCTGTGTGTCGGCTTCCGCTGAAAATGAAGTTCTGCTGCAGTCCTCTCCAAGGCTGAATATATACCGGAGGCTGCGTACGTCACCCTCTGATATCCATCCGCGTTCAAAAATAGTCCCCACTGCTCCGGAGCATGTTATTTGAACACGCACGTTTGATTTGAACGATTTGATTCATTCATAATTATACACAGAGCTCTACACGGGGACGTCTGCTTAGAATACAATGTTTCATCGCACTATTTTGATATATGCACCGCGGCGGAATAACACCTCGCCACACTGCGGCTCCAGAATTTGCTAGAAACGCAGCAACAGGGACTTTGCCCAAGCATGTGATTGGATGGCACGATTGTTTGTCTGACCTGTGATTGGTTGCTGTGTGACAGTACGTAATGTCTGCTAATGCTCATGACTGTAGGATTCTTATAGGAACACAGGCCCATTCAAAAGTCACCCAAATCCACACAAAACCCTTGTATAACACCGGGTCAGGACAGTGTGGCTTGTGTATTACACACACATGGAGTTTGTCCAACCTTTTATTAATCCCCATAAAACAAACAAACAAAAAAAGAAGCCATTGTTTTATTAAGATCTCATAAGATCTCATCAGGTTTATCTGCAGGTTTATCTGCCTGGCACTAAACAGGGACATGTGCAGGCAGGAACCCTGTCGATCTGCTTGAAACGTGCCTGACAACAGATGGAAACGTGTTTGGTAAACGTGATACCAGCTGTTGTGACGGCAGACTAAAGTATCTGGGCCAAAGAGGAAGATCACTCTGCTAACTAGCCTCCTCTGCCCACTTTACTTCACGTCCTCGCAATCCACATGCACACCAGCTTTCTCATTGCACAGACAATCTAAATATAGAATACATCTGTGATCTACAGCCGACCTAAACACCACAGCAAACTATCTATTTCAATAAGGGGAATTATCCGATGCTGATTATCTGGCTGTGGCAGCTTTAGTCTCATGACAATGAACTGCATGGGTTGTGAACTTAAGAGTGAAACAGGATACTTGACACCCTGAGAGACCACAGTTTGTAGGTTTTACTGTTGTACTGTTCTTTATAGAGGCCTACCCATGTACCTATATAGTATCACTAAATCCATTTTAATAGTTCATGTGTAACTTTAAAGTTATCTCGACTGACAATATGCACACATGGTCATATGATAGAGAGGTTACTGCTCTGTAAAAATGTCTTCAGCCTGCTCATCATAAAACTCTGTTTCCTTATAGGACGTGATCCGATTATTCCAACCCTTCTGGTTTAACTTGAATAATGACTCTGACAGTGCAGATTAGGATTTAATGGTAGCTGCAGATTTATTTTCAACCTTTCTGAAAAGTAGGTGGGAGCGAAAGGTGAGCTATTAATTTTTTTTATTGTTGATGTTACTGGAAAATGCTTCAAGGGTCCAACTGTGCCTAGCGTGGCGTCAATGCCCTGGGTGTGACTGGAGAATTCTCACGTGTTAAACACTGACTTAAGAATGTACTGATTATAGATTTTACCTTTACAGTCAGTCAGACAGACAAGGATTTTCATTTGATGTTATGGGTTTTTTTGTTAATGAGAAAATGACCCAACTAATTAAACACATCTTAGCATCTGATATGTGGGTCAGTGGTCTCTAAATTGTGGAAACCAACATGGCACAAATGTAGTCCAGTAAGATAATGGCAGCTGCTTTACCTGCCTTACTTCATTCCTGGCAGTTTCAAGTACTGAGCACTGTTTTTTCCATGTCAATCTTCCACCTCTATTAAAGACATATGTGGCACTGTAAGCTAAATTAAACCAAGAGCAGCAGCTCACATGCTGAAGTTCTGAGTTCCTATTTTGGGGTCACAGATATGATACAGCCAGGAGAGTAATAATTTATGTATTTGGGTCACAACATTCTCTTTCTCCCCCTCCAGCACGCTGTCATATGATACTCAACTCGTGACGAACCGCCCCAGGGCCTCTCAGCGGCTGGGTGTGTGGCTGAACTGGTTCAAGCTCTGACGAATGTGCTTGTGCAAAACCTGCTGTAGTCTGCCCTACCCCCTTTACTTGGAAACATTATGTGCTGCCTCAAAGTCTTTCCGGGGAAAACTATTTTTCAAGAAATAGCCTCAGCCGAGAACCGTGGTACCGACCCTGTTAGCACACAAATTGAAAGTTATCTTGGCTCGGAACGGCAAACTTAAGGCTTTCTCTGCATAAAGGTACCTACTTTGAATTGACATATTTAGTGACTCCATCAGCAGCAGTGATAGGGGTCAAAGCTGTTTGAGGGCAGAAGGCTTTCATGCAAATGTGACTGTTATCAGTGATGGACTTTGATTAGGGTCACTGTGTTTTCCTCTGCAGTGTGGTTGTTATGGTCGGAACGCCCAGTTCCACGTCAGCAGGTTGCACAACAAACACGTCACACTAGTTTCTCCAGAACTTCAACGAGGAGCTGGGTAAATACATTCCTGTTGACAGAAAGTAACTGAAGTAAGTCAGACCATCCCATAATACAACGATACAAAGATATGTACTCAACATGATGGTTTGTTCTTTTCTTTATACTCAGAGAATGGATCTTGTAAAACATACAGGTGGCTGCCACTGTGGAGCTGTTAGATTTGAAGTCTGGAGTTCTCCAGACCTCCATGTTTTCCATTGCAAGTATGTTTAGTAAACTTAAATATATTGTTTCATAATTATATAAAATAGATCAAAACTGTTTTAAATCTAAAATCACAGGTAGTCTTCTGCCACAATGGTCATTCTGGCCCAGAAGAGACATTTTAAGTAAAGATAGCAAAGATATTTCAAACAATGTGTTGCTGCTTGTAAAATCTTATAAACTGACATATGTTTCTTTTCCAGTTGTAGCATTTGCACAAAGAAACAAAACCATCATTTCATTGTTCCAAAAAATAGATTCACACTCTTACAGGTAGAAAACAATGCTTTTCATTACAACTTTAAAATGACACAAACATTTTAAGTGAATAATGTTATTTTTCTTATTTCTTTCCAGGGGTTGGATAGTCTGACCACATACACATTTAACACCCATGTTGCTCAACACACCTTCTGTAAAACCTGCGGAGTTCAAAGTTTCTACACACCACGCTCCAACCCAGATGGATATGGTACGACCCTGACAAGAGACGTTGTCACGTGGTGTAAACTCATTTCAACATCCTCCTGTCGTGTTTACTCCAAGCTGACCTGTCTGCTCTCTAATGCCCCACTTCCATGGCATATACTTATATAAAGGGAAATGTTTACAATGGGACTTGAGGAATCTAACAGTGACCTCTGGAAAAGCCTTAAAACCTAATACTTTGCACTAACTGAAATCTAAGCTGGTAAATCTGTTCAGCAAATTATTGCTGAAATGTGCTGGAGACTCTGGACTGCATTGTTTATATGCAAACAAATTAACAGCCCTTTGTTGCTATTGTTTTTTCTCTCCCCAGGCATTGCTCCACACTGTCTGGATCCAGGTACAGTTCAAAGTGTCACAGTGGAGAAGTTTTGTGGGGAGAAGTGGGAGGAAAGCATGCAAGCTCACAAGAGCATCAGGGACATGTCTAGACCTGCACCGAACACAGTGGAAAGAAAATCACAAGATAAGACATAAGAATCACATCTTGTTTTAATCAGTAGTACATCAGAGATACTGTACAGTAATTTGGAAAATGTTTCCAACCTTAGTGTTTTTCTACAGTGTAATGACTGAAAACAATAAAGACATTTCTATAGCAAAAAGGGAATTCAACATTTCTTCTTTCTTCTTTTCTGGATGTCTTGTGAAAGACAGCATTCAGGCTACTTTAGCCAATACACTCTCAATACATTTTTATTCACTGTGAGCACAACAGCTCATTAGATGTGTAAACAGCTCGACACCTAACAGTGTAACAATCAGTGCATCCGGATGGAACAAACTTTTAATAGATCTTCAGGTTCTTTGGTCCTTGTGGGATCACCCGGAACGTGTTTATGAACATGTAGCGCGAGAAGGTGATGTACAGATGCCGAAACCACAGGAGTTGAGAGCGATGACAGAGCATTGCAGCCTGACAAGAGAAAGAGAGATTATAACTTTCTGTTTTAGATGATGGTGACATTTTAATCATGCACTGAACACTGGAAACAGTTTTTCACTATGACCCTCATCACTGCCAAGGTTGGATATCTCTCTCTCTCTTTGTTTTGATTGATTCTTTTGCTTTAGATAAAATGTACTGTATTCATTCTCGAAACTTTGACTTTGGCTCTTGCTTTTGCTATTTGGCAAAATTCACTGTTTCTTATTTGTGTTGTCTTGGTGTCTTGGATTGCTTTGATTGGTTTCATAAAGTTTAAATTTGTATTTGTCATATAGAAGTTATCACAGGATCAACAGTACAATGAAAAGTGTTGGATGAGAAGGACAGGTCAGGTCAGCAGTACAATGAGGGTAATCATTAAATTTAAATAAAATAAAGTAAAAAGGGCTTAATGTGAAAAGGTCAAATACTGTAATACTATATATTTTGGAGGATGAAAGGGTAAAACCAAAGTGTATACTTTGCAGGAATATGTTTGTAGACGTTAGGCAGGCAGCACTGTTTATTCTCTGTACTCAGCAATATTGTAAATGAGGTCTCTACCTCAATGTATTTCAGAGTAATAACAGTTGAATGAATGAACAAATGAATGAATAACAAAGCAGATGGTGACACATTTAAAATTCAGTGTATATGTATTAATATCTTTATGTACTATTTGCTTAATGATATAATTTCAATCCTCTTCTCATTTTAGTGGTCTCTTTTCACTAACTTCATCTCCACTCCTGCTTTTTCAGCACAAATACTGCATGTGTTTTAAATCCGTGTGCCCTCTAAGACTCTACAGTGACAGGTCTGACAAACTGTCTTACTTTGGCTTTGCTGTAGCCTCGTGAGCCTATAATGCAGCAGAGACATGAGGACAGCAGCCAGCTGAGGGGGAGCTCCAGGAAGGAGATATACTTCCTGAGGAGGCCGACGGTCACCAGGGAGAGCAAACAGCAGTCTGGGAGAACACACAGAGACCCAGTTAGCTACTAATGTTGTTAAACATTCAGTGAAGCAGCAGACAGTTAATCAGGACATTCTCAGTGTAGCAAACTCAAGCTGCCCTTTGTGTTGTAGGTTGTAAGAACCACTGTATGGGAGATAAGTGCTTGTATGAAATGTCAGTAGAAAAATATCTCATTCAACTATTAACAAGCACAGACTGTAAATATGGTACTGGTATCTTTAACTGTAACATTTGTCATGCAGCAGGAGTTTGTGGAGCACAAGAAGCTTAAAGCTGTTGGTAATGAGCAGGGAGTCTCGCTGCACTGCCAGGTGAGGAGGCTTATTACAGTCACGTTGAGCCTAATTCTCTCCGCCTCCACCACAGGCCACAGCGAGACAAGCCCAGCAGGTTAGATGCAAATGTCTGGTAATGTATAACCTGTGTGCGTGTTTTCAAGATTGCTCACTGCAGGGACAGAGTTCAAGGAAGAACAAAGTCTTTCTGTCCTAAATAAAGTGTGTGTTTGCAGTTGCTAGGATGATGATGATGTTCAACAGCCTGGTGGGACAGTTCTCATGTATGATTTACTACATGGGATGCTTGTTTCTTATCAGGCTGTCTGCAAGCTCAGTGGAACTGAATGCTTTCCTAACAAGAAATGTAGTCTTCCTGTTGTAAGATGTACCCACCTCACTGTCCCACTTTTCCTTTCACATTCTATTAAAAAAATTCCCCACGTGGGTCATCAGGAGAAAAGGCAACTGAAAGTCAAAATCATGACCAATTGGATTGACAATATATTCAGTTTGTAGGCACACAGCTGTAAAAGAAACATTTGTTATACAACTGTTTTTTGCTATTATCCAACTGGCCTTTTGCTACCACCAGCAGACCACACAGTTTAAAAGACACAAGAGTCACGCAACATTTTTGATCAGAAGAGGGCGCTGTACATTAACAAAATGCTCAGTCTCTTCACAGTACTTTCCAGGATGTGAAATATGCAGACTAGGAGGTGCTTCTTCTTCCTGTCTTGTCTAGCTGTGAGGCAGATTTGTGTATTTGATTTGAGGTGCTCCTTAAAGCTGAATTATTAATACTATTATGAGCACATGTACTCATTATCATTGCACTTCATAAATGTCATAGAAACAATAGAAGAGTGACCAGTGAATCGAATCTGTGACACTGTGCTCACCGATTTTGAAAATATAAACCTCTTGAAAGTCGTCTTTTTGTCAAACATACCGTTGGGTACTTGTCCAGTGGAAGCAAGGTGGCTGTGGAAGGAAAGAAAAAAAAAAAAATTTCAGTGTAGCAACAACATGATGTTTTCACCCCCCTCATGTTTGTTGGTTTGTATGAGTGTAAGCAAGACTACGAAAAAAACTTCTGAACGCATTTCTATGAAACTTGGTGGAAGGATGTGGTATGGGTCAGGGAGGAGCAATTTTGCATTTTGGTGCAGATCTGGATCAGGCGATGGATCCAGGACTTAAAAAAAAAAAAAATCTAACATTGCTGATGGAATTTTCAACTCCTTCACAAACAAAAACGATCAGGCATATAGGGAACTGATAAATATATGAGTGTGTGGAATGTGCTGCAGCCTGATGACATTTAAGGGGGACAAAAACTAAAACTAACAGAAAAGAGATGTAGAGCATAAGTACAAATCCCTATGCATTTCATCCTAATGGGAATAATGTTATGTGATTTGAAGAGCAGACATATTTTGAACAGATGGGCTCAGTGAGGGGAAATCTGTGCAATATGGGGACAGCAATGTATACTTCACAGAGCAAAACACTTTTTTTTTTAAATAGTCTGATGCAACTTGCTTGGTTGGCCTCACCAAACCAGAGCTGCCCTTCCACCTCACCACTTCAGGGACAGGATTTACTGCTGCTCTCTGGGAGCAGAGCCAGGACTGTTTGGATGACCTCTCAGCTATGTAAGAGACCAATTCTGAAAAACATGGTGTGTGTTTGTGTGTGTGTGTGTGTGTTTGTCTGTGCATGTGAGTTTGTGGTGAAAGATTTGGAGAGATGGATGTTGATGTGAGTCTAAATGTTCTTCGTTTTCCTGGAGATCTTTTTACGATTATGGAGTAGGCTGGTTACTGTGTGCATGTGTGTGAGCCACATCTTTACCCTGAAGATGGCCTTTTTAAGTTAAATGTATATGATTTTCTGATGGCAAAGCCTTAAAGTTCAGTCTGTACCTCGCAGCTTTATGGATGGCTACGTGATTGGCATGGCCACTCACTCCTCTTCCATCGAAGGTCAGCACCTGAAACAACAAAGTATCTCATTGTAAGGGGTGAAGAGCCAGAGTCGGGATATCTAAGAATTAATTTAAATAAACCAAGGCTACAACAGAGGGAAAGATGTTGGTAGGGTTAGTTGAAGGGTTTCTGTGTCTGACTGTGGAGCTGCTTGGCAGCTGACAACTGATATTTAAAAAGCCTTTTTCTGTGTGCATGCTTGCACACTGGAGGAAGCAAGTAAAAAAAAGAATCAGGTCAAAGGGAAAGAAAAAGTGTTCGACTGAAGACTTGGCATGTGCTATGCTTAGGCGTATTCTGCCATGACTATGTCTTTGCAATCAAGAAAAACTTTAAAGTCCCAGCCACATGATCTTATGGGTATACTTGTAAACTCAGAATCTGTTAGATTGGGCTGGGTTGCAGAGCAAAAGTGAGATAGTGGCGTAATGTTTGACTACTGAAACATTCTGGTTAAAACAGGGGAAAAGTAACAACTTTTCACATCTTGTTGTATGTTAACACCACTGTTTTAACATACAGAGCGGATTTTGATGTGAGACTGACATGATTCTCTTATTGTCTGGAAGCACTTTAACTGTTGAGCTTGAGAGAATGGGAGGAGGCAGGATGTGTTTGTTGCTGTCTTTGATGACAAAAAGAGATCAGCAGACGGAGGAACTCAGCTGTAATTCTCAATCATCAACCCAACCCAAGAACTTGTTTTCAGTCTTCTTCTTTTACAATTGCTGCTGTACTTTCTGTTCATCAGGCCGTTTGACTGTTTTTTTCCTTGTTGAGATAGACTGGATGAAAATTCCTCCCTTCTAAATTGGCCACATTCCCAGTAGCTAATAGCACAGATCTGCTCTGGGGCTGATAAGAATCTCAGAAACGAAATCCAAACTTTCCCTGCAGTAGAGACCATTTTCCCTTTTTTTTTAAGGAGACGCAAATGCAGTCTGCGCTGGACAAAAAGAGATGAGGCTGACAGGATTATTGCACAGACCACAGTGGAACACAGATAATGAACTAGGAAGCTGCAGGGCCAAAACATGTGGTAAAAACAAAGTATATGATCCTTTTACAGAATGGCAAGACACTGTGTTAACATCAAACATGAAATGAGTATCATACCATGTTGAAGGAGTGGGCACTAATGTGCTTCACAATTACAGAGGAGACCAAAGAGATGCTCCATTCAGCTTTGGGGTTGTCTGGAAGTTTTCTGGAGAGCAAAGAAAGAGATTGGTTATAAACTAAGTTAATATGAATATTGTGTTTTAATGAAGCTGCTTTCAGACATGCACTGAACTCTGGATATTCTCCTGAAATTACCCAGAGGGGCTGAATGTGAAAATGCAAATGTCAGTGTCGATGTGCTGTTAACAAAAACATGTGATTTGCGTAGCACTTGGACAATCTCCTGCTGCATTCCTCATATATGAAGTCCGGAGAATGCCCGGACCCACTTCCGGGTATTTTCCAGAGTTCATGTCTGAGACAACTTGAGGCACAACTAGAACTCCACTGTAACTAAGAGTCCGAAGCAGTCTATGCAACCTAAGCTCAGTGAATGTTTCTGAGGTTGAACTGTCTCATTCCTGTGTAAAGCACAGGATTTGTGCACAGAGCAGATTTAACACGGGCGTTTGAAAATAGGCTGCTGTAGAATGCAAACACAAGGGAGTGCAGGGAAGTCTGGGGGTTAAGGGTCCGAAGACCATCATAGTATCTTGCTCAACTGAAAGTGCAGGCCTGAGACAACATGGAGTACATAATTAAACAAACATTACACCTAACCAGCTCAAGCTCTCAGCCTATGTAACATACACAGACTCCATTATAGGCAGATATATTTTTAAAAGAAAATAGCTTAAAAACACACTTGAACACAACAGTCCACATAAGGGTTGCATTTTAAGTAGATAAATTCTTTGCACTTTGTTGAAGAAACACATGACTGCATAAGAGTGGAGGTGCTGGTTTGACAGGGTAAGGAGCCGAATCACTGACTTGACGTGTTACATTGTGCACTTGGGGAGGCTCATCGGGGGTGACAGTGCATGTATGTATTTGAAAGTAGGTTTGGTGTGGGGGAGTGCGGTGTGTGTGTCAACAGTTGTTCCCCTCCCCTTCGTGGCAAACAATGAGTGAGGACGGTTCAGGACGGTTGAGCCGGTGCAGGGAAGTGATGGATTAGGCCACAAATCTATTGGCTGCATGCGATGTGAGCGTCAGGGCTATGGGAGTGGGAGGTGGGGTGAAGGGCTCGGCTATGTCCGGGGAATTATGAGCGGAGAGTCTGAGGTTCATAGATTGTTTCAAGAGTGAGTTGATGAGTGTGTTGCTGTGACATTTTGCTAACAGTGACTAATATATTGTAAAGGCAGAGAGGGCATGATTTCTTTAAATTGGCCCTGTCAATTGTCTTATCTGAAGAGATGCCTCAATTAATTAAATATAACCTCAATGTCCTCATGTATGTGAGCTAAAAAAAACTGATGGAAACATGTAATAGTTTGTGCCAATCTCTAAATAATCTGTTTCATTGTATCTCATGTTCTAACACAAGGTCTCTTCTGCTCTGCTGCATTTATTTATTTATTATATATTATTATGTCTTACAGCCTGACAACCGTAGCTAAGCACAAGTTGGCAAGGAGGGGGAAAAAGAAAAATGAACAAAAGATATCAGACACCTGACCTTTCACAAGCAGGATGCAGGCCGAGTGTCAACTTCGCCATGGCAACAGTACAAATGTCCTAAAGTAACCTCCCTGGCTCCCTGTTCTAGCTTTGCATATGGATGTCTAATTGCTTGCAGGCATCTATATGCAGCTGTTGAACTTTGGCCCAGTGAGGGGATTCTGTGTGTGTGTGTATGAGGGAGAGAGAGAGAGAGAGCTTGTTTAGTCTGGTCACATGGACCACAGGCCTGTGAAAGTGCCAGACTTCTGTCCACACAGTCAGATTATATGTCCTGCTGGAAATGGTTGAGATGCCACTAAATGCCTCCAGTACACCCACAATATCCAAGTGTAATAAGGTAGTTACAACTATAGTTACAACAGCAACAGATGTTTTTCTTCCCGTGATGATTTACAAACTTTTGCTAATATTCCGTCACGTTAAGGAAATAAGCTTTCAGGAAAATAAAAGGAAATAATGTTGTTAGTTTTCTTTTAAAAGAAGACAGAACAAAATTTCTGTAATGTGATAAAGTACGTTTTCTGCTGCCTGCAGAATTCAATAACTGGGAATTGAACAGTTTTACTGTGCAGAGGCCAGTGTGTGGTGGTGACAAATGTATCTGGGATAAAAGCACAGCCTGAGGTCAGTGACAGGGCTGGAACATCTCTCCATAATTTACTGCGCCCCGCCATGTGCTTATAAATCAGCCCAGGCTATTTTTACCATCGATCAATGTATATTTAAAGTGTGTGTGTGTGTGTGTGTGTGTGTGAGTAGTAAATTCTACTTTCCCTTTTCAGAAAATCGTGCTGAGCTTTAGTTTGACAATCATACAGAGAATTACACTAATCAAAAACTAAAGATTCCAGATTGGGATTAATTTCTGACATGAGATTTTTACAGTAATATTATATTACAGGTTGTTATCAGGGACAGAGAAACATTTTCAGAATTACAGAGACAAGTGGTGGGTGAGAGGCCTCAGTTCAGTCTGATGGATAATGTAATAAAGAAGTGGAATGGCTGGATCTTCGCAGCTATAATGGAGCCCAGGGAGCAGACAGAGGTCAAGCCAGTGCGAATGGAGAGGCAGCAGAGCGTGCTCAGATCCAGCTTGATCACAAAGGCCCCAACATGCACTGGAGCCCCAGATACTGTCAACACAGCTGTCCTATTCAGTGTGCATTAAAGCGAAAAGCCTATTTTACAACAGAATCCACGTGTTTTTACTGTCATCTTAGAGAACCGGTCTGCAGTTATGAGTGGGAAAGTTTCACCCAGATCTGTCGTCAGGAAACATAACCCACACTGCGTCCCTGACTCCTGTAATCCAACAAATTGGACAGTATAACTATAAGTATTACTGAGCAAACAGCTATCATTACAATTGTCTTTGCTGCTCCCTTCATCTCTGTCTGAAATTATCATTTGTATTAATACTTAAAACACTTTTTAGACACTGTCTTTTCTCATGAATTTTATGAATATTGTTATTTTGTTGATGTGCTTTGTTAAACGCAACATCGGTTGCACTTCTGTCCGTCCTGGGAGAGAGATACCTCACACACATTTCTCGGAGGTTTCTACGTTTTTTCAGGTAGTTTTTCCTGACCTCGTGGAGGGGACAGAGGATGTTGCTGGATTTGAAGTGGCGTTATAAGACAAATTGACTCATTAAGATGGATTTTTCTACAACAAAACAGACAAGGCTGACTTTCCAATGCAGAGCACATGTCCTGGTTAGTGTTTGGCAGAAAAAACAAAGGCAAATGTTTTGCCCAAGCAGAACTAAAGAGTTGCATCAAGTTAAGACATTCAATTCCAGTTCTTGAGCCACAGTCCTTATTTAAATAGACATGTTGCCTGTTTCACACTTGACTTTGTTTCAAACACTTTTGATTTGTCTGGCTGAAGCACTATTTTTCTACACTTTATTGTGTTGTGTTTATAATGAACTGGTGTTTTTTGCATTGCACCCCCCCCCCCCCTTCCCTCTTTGTGCATAATAAAATGACGAGTGAGAAAAAACAGGGTCATATGTGGCCAGAGAAGGTTAAGAGCAAAAAGCCAGAGCCTCGCTAACCATGTAAAGACACACAAAGAGGGAAGCTGTTTGGAATGACCTACATTAGCAGCGCTCAGAGGGCTGCCAAAATGTATCCACAGTCCTTGGCAGTTGGATCCAGCAGACATGGACAGGAGGAGGAGGGGAGAGAGGGAGGCAGGGAGAGGGAGGCAGAAAGAGAGAGAGAGCTTGGTTGTGAGTGAGCAGGGCTGGGGATCTCAAAGTGCTGATTAGGTGTGTGTTTTGGGCAAACAACAGAATACACAGAAAGGGAAAGTGGGCAACCCTCCAGTTCAACAGAAGTGCAGACAGCACTGAGATCAAAGTTCAGCTTTATTCTGTGTGCACAAGATGATAAAACTGTGAAGTCACAGACACACACACATGCATACACACATGTGCACACACGTTTGTACCTTTATCTTAGTGAGGAGACTCATTTACATAATACATTCCACTTACCCTTATCGATCTAAACTAAATGCCTAATTCTAACCCTGATCCTAAAACCAAGTCTTAACCCTCAAACAGCCCTTTGAAAAGAGAGGACCGGGTCAAAATGTCCTCACTTTCTAAAAATGTCCTCACCCTGTAGGGTCTATGCTTAAAATGGTCCTGACAAAGATACAAGCACAGGGACACACACAACAATGTTGGTTGAGGCAGACGACCTTGGCAGGCTGCCAGCTTATTACTGTGAGTTCCAGGTTAGTGCCAGAGTTCATCCAGCTCTCCTGACTAGCCAACATGCACACTCTCACATGTACACTGCTCTGAGGTTCTTAGAAACTCCAAACATTTTCAAGGGAAGCTGCAGGGTTGATCCATTCCACGGGGGAAACAAATTCCTGCTTTTTCAACATGACCTTCAACAACTATTTTCTCTGTAACTTGACCTTGCTAATATCCAGAGCTGTGGGGACTGAAAGCCTTACAGCTGCATCAACAACAAAACAAGATGTAGAAAAAAAAAATAAGAGGGACAACAATAAAGTTTGTCTCTGAGTTGTGTTTGCCACTTTGAACATAAAATAACAAATGTTGTGAATAAGTCTGTTTATAGCCACATTGAGAAAACTTAATCTATTTCTATATATAGTTCATGGCATTTCAAAAATAAATATTTTATTCAGTTAAGTGATACATTTTCATTTGATGTGAATAATTTTCTTTATGGTTCTTTTTGATTTATGGTTCCTGGACAACTGAGAGGAATAAGCTACCATCCAAAAGACGTTTCTAAGAATATTTCTTTAAACCGTATTTGTTGGAGAACAACTTCCCCCCCAACTGATCATTTCGTACACTGAGACGAAATTATGTTTAAAGGTTTTCCAAGACAAAAAACAAAAATCCACTGAAACTTTCATATGTTACCTGCAAATCAACATGCAACCTGAGCTACCTGGTGAAAAAGAGAATATATCTTTATAAATGAGTGTAATATGTTTTCTGTTCCATAATTTTAATATGTCCACTCAGAGCTTCGCACAAACAGATGGACAGATTAGCACACAGAATAAATACACAATAATTATTATTGTGTCATTTTAACTGAAGAAGATTCTTTGATTCCTGAGAGGATTGTGACAGTATTGATGCTTCTACTCTCGTATTCGGTCACTGAGTCACAGAACCAGATGAGGAGACTCTGTGACTATAATAATAATAAAAACTAGACCCTCTGATGTCTTTTAGTATAAACATTATTGACCTCTGTTAAATATTTCCCATGGTTACAAACGACCATTTCAGACTGACAGACCTCATTACACATTAACTTCTTATCTTGTCTCACTTTCCCACTCTAGCAGTAGAAACAGTCTGATATCAATTAACTGTATTTGCATTGCATGGTCAATATATGTAGTTTATTCATCGGCAGACAAGATATATATTCACTCTGTAGAAAAAGACTTTAAGAGGTTACCAGGACAACCAATATGGGGCTTAGTGAAGCCAGATCACAAAAAGATAGCATGTACTGTACTTGAACTTGCATTGTTTTGCCTCTGTTGTAGTAGCATGAGTATGAATTGTGGTCATCTCTGACTGATAAGCTCCAACAGGCAGAAATGCTGAGACCTGAGTCCTGAACTTAAGACAGAGAAGGTACATTTTGCTATGCGACTATTTTTTATAGCGACTAATTAGTCTGTTTCAAACAATACTGATTGTTGAAAATGGACAGCACAATCATGTTCAACACACAAATCTTTGCATTCAACATCACACATCGTAGGCAACACAAATTCAGTGTTGTCAACATTACAAAGGCACACAAGGGAAATATTGTCGTGTATGTTGTGTGTTTGGCGCAGAAGGCAGCTCACTTATGGTTGACTATGGTGACTCTGGAGGCCGGTATTCCCAACACGGCACAGCTGTTGAGAAGTTCTTGTTTACGTTGTTCTCCTTGATTGTAGTAGTTTCCTGTGTAATATTTGGAGACAAAATGAAATGAAAACTTGAAGTATGAATTCTGTCTCTGTGACACAGATTGAAAATCATGTGTCACAAGTTTGTGCTATTGTCACTGATCCAAGGCTGTTTATGTTCATGCTGTTGTGTCTATCTAAATTATTCTATTTTAAATAAAATGACACTGGCAATAATACTACTGCCTCTACTCAAGAGGACTGTATGGGGTCATTTGGGTGTACAACATTTGGAAAGACTGTGCAGCCAGTAAAGGGAAGTAGATGTTGGAATGGCTTACTGTTTGCAATAAGGGAGCGTCCTACATATCCTACTTTAAAAAGTAAAGTAAAATAATGGCTCAAGGCAAACAAGAGCTGTGATCACTTTTAATTAGGTTTGAGTGTCATGTGTTTTGTCCTTTTAATGATTTGTGTATTAGTGTAATAGTGTCTGTAGTTGTTGTACTGTATCATTCTGACGGTGATATATACTGGGATTCTTTAACTCTTTAAATTATCAACCTCAATGTGCTCTGTTTCATAAATGAAAATGGTTTTCAGCTTTGGCTGCTTTCAGTAATTGACAGCAGCAATTGTGCATTTAAACTCAACCACTTTAAGGCAAGGAGGCCCTAAGAGATAAAACCAGTGCACAGTAGTCTCTAGCACCTCACATGCCAATATGATGTATCAGTCAGACACAGTAATCCCAAAACCAGAGACTGATCATGTACATACACTGTAACTACACGTGTATGTGATGTAATGTGATGTACTGCCTCCTTTAAATCAGCTTTTGTTATTCTCTGTTAACTCACATGGCTCAAACACGTAACTAAGACTAGCTAACACTAGTTAGCATCAGACCACAGGTAACAATTCGTCCTCTAACTTAACATCGACTTGCTAGCGTGTGACTTATTGTGTAACCACTGCTGTGTTGTCACCGTACCTTCAGATAAACACAGCAAATGAACGCTGGCATTCAACTCCACGAGTCGTATAATCGTTGGCGCGAAGAACATACATTCATCATCCGGATGCGCAGTGACAACCAGAGCTCTGATGTCAGACCAGTCAGTTTCTCTGCTCCATAAATGTTTCAACGACTTCGTCAAAGCTCGCCGCTGACGATGGTAAATGAGTTTTATCCATATTAGAAAGACTAAAACTATGAAGACACAAAGGTAAATACTCATTATTTTGACCATTACCGTAAACAATCCGTGTGAAAACAAAAATCGGACATGTAAATAGTTCCACGTGTAAAACAGGTATGCAGTAGTCTGCCTCTTCTTCCTCTCTGGGGGTACATGCAAGTCTGTCTGCTGTATCTAAGGCGACCTCCTCTTTAAAGCACTAACTAACTAACTCCAGCAAAGCAACATCTTTCCCCTTTTAGCCAAACAATAATCTATTTTCTCCCAAGGAATCACTGTCGCGTGTTCCGTTCATTTGGGTTTAAAACAAAAACATGAGGGAATCCAAGAACTAAAAAATATTGAAAAATTATTTCCTCGCGCATCTTAACAAAGAATACGTATAAAAGATGAGATCAAGTGAAGTTGTTAAGGGGAAAAGTCTATTTATTAAAGGTGAAAACCACAAACACCACCAACGTTATCGCGTATGAGGGAAACATTTAGCTGTCACACCGGTCTGTCCTTACAGGCAGATAAAAATCAACAGAAAACATTTAGTTTTATTCATCAAAATACTGACGCCAGAGTCATTCAACTTAATCAATGCACATATTATAATTTTATTCATGTCTAAACTTTTTTTGAAGCGCATGAGTATCCGGTGAATTCAACCGAGTAGGGACAATTTATTTTATCCTGTCAGGACATAGACCGACAAATGCGGCGCAGCCTTCAGTCCGCTCAGTCGTCCACAGTCCCCGACCCGCGGATTTACAATCAACTATTCCCACATATTTCTGCCCGGGGATTCCCACCTCTGCCATCCGTATATATTCTAAATATGAGGTGAGTGCAAATCGCTCATGAGAACCATAGCAACATGTCTCATTATCATGCTTTTAAGCGCCCCGGTCTACGCTGAAAATCTGCCTTGCAAGATGGCGACGTGGTTGGGAATTCAAAGGTGAATTACAGGCTAAGTTAGCTTGCTAGCGACAACAACAACAACATCTCTAACGTCACGCTTCAACGCTGGAGTGGTAAAGTAGCATACTCTTTACTCTGCGTTCGTCGTGGCGCATGTATTTGGTGCATTTCCGGGGGAGCTCTCGGTCGTGGACCCATCCCCCCCAAAGATAGGATACAAATCCAATTGCGTTTGTGTGATGCTGTGGTGGTAAAAGACAACAATAACAACGCACAGCGGCGGCATTTCTCACGGCTGGGGTGTACACGGCGCCCAGATTCTCACCCTGACTGCCGGATGTGTATTAACATCACCGGAGGGACCACTGTGGATGGGTTCTAAATATAACTTTACCAACAGCTTCACCGGGAAACGACAAAAGCAATGTGCACGTCTGTGCTCTGAAAATGCCTTAAACCATCCCGGTAAACATTAGTCAAACATGTTCTAATGGCAATGACAGAGAAGTGGAAGAAAACACCCAGGAGTTCATGTATCTCCATTTCTTTCAGCTACGTTCATGATCTATGGTAACAGGGATGAGAGAGTGGTACAGCTTAAACCAGCCTTTGAATGTATCCAACTAATTATTCCTATCATGGATTTCTATTTAAGTAACTATAAAAGCAGAAGCAGGATGATGTGGATAATGGGGACACTATCAATGGCTGCAGCAGCTGATTCAGATGATAAACATTTTAATATCACCCTGAATTCTCAGAACAAAAAAATGATGCAGAGACCTAGTGCCTTGCTGAACATGCGGAATGCTGTGACATACACTTCATCCCACCAGCTCTCCTTTTTTCCTTGAATTGGGAGCATGATGAGTGTTTTTAATACTTGGAGGAAAGTTGTTGACTATTTGCAGCAGAGCAGGACCTCACAAGAAAGATGACATAATCCCTCCTCGCACCATGTGCAACATTTCTTGTTTCCTGTTTCAATTATTGTTACCGTACTTGTAAAAATAGGAAGTCAGTCTCCTGGAATAAACTGATCAAATTGTGGAAAGGTGGAACAGTAAAAGTACGACCTAAATCCTAGTTAAGAATTGGAGCATTATAAAAAAAATCTCTCTGAGTCCTTCTTTTGATGTTTGTGAACATTTTCCATCAATTTATTTGTTCCCAGTGAGTTTGGCTCCAAGTCAAAACATGTTGCTGAAGATGAGTCTCTTATATCCTTAAGATGCAGATTCATGACCTGTTATGTGGAGAGGACATGACACCATTTGTCACTGCTTGTATTTTGTCCAAAGTTCTATCCCTGTTAATGAGAACTGGTAAATATAAAACCAACTCTTTATTTAGATGACTAGCATTAGCGACCATAGCTTGACATTATTGAGACACTGTTGATATTTTTAGTATTTATGAAATCGTGAAAGTGGATTTAATTCTGGGACCCGCTAAATGCTGTGGCCTGTGGATTGAAAAAAATTAAAATAACAGCTTCCCCCCCTTGTTATGGTGGCAGTGGTTGTAGCTTTTCCAACCCTGAATTTAGCATTATAATGTCTAGGCATGGTGGCCATGCTGTAAATCTCGCAGACCTAGATAAAATGATAGAAGCAGCAGAGCACAAAGTCACATGATGAATCCCTCTGAAGAATGAAGGAAAGAAGCTGAATGTTTGTTGCTCGTGTTTAGCAGCATGTTTTTGTTTCCTAAAATATCAAATCAAAAAGAAAATCTGTGTTTGTTCTTTTGCAAAGCACTGTGATATTTTTTTATTAGCAGACATTCATCAGAAGTCACCGTGCCCTTGCTCTGGCCAGGTCTCTGTTCTTTGTACATTGCTTCACTGAGCCAATCCATGTTAAGCAGCTAAAATAAACTTGCTAATTTTATCCAACTAACATATATGTTTAAATTCAAGTGGGGGGTTGAATTAAAATAATTAAAGATAGCATGATAAATACTATTCTGAAGTAGTGTCAACATGAGAGCAAAGTTGAAACCACGATCAGTATTCATATTTGTTTTCCATGCAATGTGAGATTAGAGACAACACGTTCTTTCCACTGCTGCACAGCAGTTAATTGAGAAAACAAGTTAATTAAAATCTTAGAAGCATTATACAATCCCAAAATATTTTAACTATGAAACAACACACCCTGCCAATCCCCTTTTAACTAGAATGGCACTCAGTGGAGCGCATACCTCCATCAAGATCCAACAGTTCCTTTAAATTCAATCAAGCTGCACCAAAATTGCACACACATAAATATTTGTCGTTTTTGCATAATTCTGCTGACAACAAACAAATAGACATGAGCAAAACATAACCTCCTTGGTGGAGGCAGTAAGAAGCAGATTTGTTTTTACAAGAACTTAAATAACAAAATCAACAACAGTCGAACTCCATTAATTTACCATTATCTTTCATATATAAAATGTGATATGCATTTAGAAAAGAAAGGATTAATGCAAATACATTTTCTATATTTCATTTATCCATATATTACGATCAAAGTAACTTTACATCCTCTTGAATGAATCATTTTTTGTTCAAGCTCACAGTTGGCAGAGCTTAACAATTTTTTGTGTGAAAATATATTTTTTGTTTATATAGATAAACATTTACTTATACTAATGCTGGCAATTCTATAACAGACTAGAGAATATTTTACTTTTCAAAGCATGAAAGTGTTTACTAGCACTCCAGTTGTATAGTAGGGCTAATGTTTTTGAATGCACTTGTTATTCACAGATTGTTCGCGCTTTTGATTTAAAGGCCTTAAGATAGAAAATTCCTCTTCAAGATAAACTAAGACCTTTAAGAGTGTATTTTAAATTTGATTCCAACCACTTTAAATGCACTAGAAACAGGAGGGGATATGAACAGGGCAGTGGTCCAATTCTCACCTGCATGGATAAAATACAGCAGTTATCTTTATTTCAGAAAAGAAAAATATACAGGGAAAGGTGATGGGCTGCATCTGTTTTAATCAATATACTTTACATGAAATATACTTTAATATGAACCTTTCTGACACATCCAGTTGTGTCTAGTGTTGTGCATACTAACTTGTTTTAGCACTGCATGGTCAATAGACAACACTGATAGCTCATATCCTGTTTTACTCTTTTATGTTGATGCTGCAGTATTTCTTTTGATCCAATATTGTCAGTCTTACTATGTTGTAATCTTATATTGCTGATTTAGTTTTTCATGCAGAAAGAGTGTTTTATATGTCCACTGTATTGAATAGAATCTGACATTTAACAAACAAATATGTGTCTCTGTCTTGGGATAGGTGGTTTGTGTCTCCAAACATGGTCTAGCTGAAGTGTCTGATCCGTGAAGCCGCAGCAGCTCGGTAGCACTGAGCCAGGATGTCCAGTAGCTCGGGCTACCCCCCCAGCCAGGGGAGCTTCAGCAGTGAGCAGAGCCGATATCCTTCCCATTCTGTCCAGTACACCTTTACTGGCACACGTCACCAACAGGTAAAACCTCTCTTTAGCTTTGTTTTATGTCTGCTTACAGGGAAACATTTCATTGAATGACTCTATGGATCCTGATAATGTTTTCTCAGGTTTTCTGCTGTTGAGTGCAGTAGACAGCGGCGTTTTTTTTATAGTAGTCAGAGCTACACACTTTGTAAATCTTTTATTTCACTGTAGTACTCGTCCTGTGAAATCACTCAGCAAGTGGCAGGCTAACATTCCAAATAAGAGGAGTCATTTCTTTTTGGCTTGACCGCTACAGTGGGGCCAGCACTACAAACATGAATGTTGGCGAGTTACCGAGTGACAAAGTCAAACCACTGGTTGGCTGGCCAAGTGTTTTTGCAATTGCCCTTTCAAAACAATTTCGTCAAATAGTTACTATTATGTTACTGGGATCTGTATTCAGGTGTTTGCAGAGTTCTGTATGCATACTGAAGACTGCAAGCCCATCATGGGAATGTGCACAGGTAAATCAGAAACCACTGGTGTTTGGCTGTTTTAACATCGCAGGACAAAGCTGTCTGCTGGTGAGACGGTCCAATGTGCGGTAGTATATCATGAGTGAACTATGAGCAAAATGCAGACTTTATGTCTGCATGAGGGAAAAAAAGGAATCAACAGTCAATTTTGCTAACCCAAACAAAGTCCAGTCAGATACTGCGTTTTTACCTTTTCTGGCTTCCTCTTGACTGTAGTTGAGGCTTTGGTGAGATAGACAGACTGAATTCAGACTTGTGGGGAGTATTACTTTGTTGAGATGAAATATATGAAAATGTTGTGGGGCAATATTTGCTTATTTGTTAAATAAGGCCCTGGACTGCACCCATAACCTATGCTGATCATTAATCTGAATAGATAAACTGTGTCTGTTGCTGCTGCACACTTGGTTACCAGAACCAAGTTTCAGTAACGAGAGTATTTTCAGTATGTACTACAATATAAAGGTGAAATGTGACAGTTTTTTCTTTGATTTACTTGCTTGTTGTGTATTATTATTTTTATGCTGATTGTGGTTTAATTTATATTATTATTCTAAATAGACACTCCCTTCCTGTGAAGAAATATAAGTTTATATATACACATTTTTCCAATTGAGTAATTTTGATAATCATGTTTTCATTGCTGAACAAATACTTGTGATGTTGTAATCTATAAGGTTTGTAGAGTATTTGAATTCATCACAATTTCCAGATGGAGAGTCTTTTGACTATTGTGAATATTGGATAATGTTTGTTTGCTGTTTTTAGTTGACACACTTCTCAGAAGCTTTCTTTCACAGAAAAGTGTCAGGGGGTCATTTCTGAGCATTTGGATTGTTTGCTTTAATCTTGGACAAATCTGGCCTTTGGAAATATTTCCTGTAACTGATTTTGCTTGTTCAGGTTTGTTTGGAGGTCACAGTGTGCTGATAACATTAATGTGAGTGAGCTCATTGATAAAAGCTTTGGTGTATTAAAAGATTTATATAAATATAACCCTCAATCAACCAAATTCATAGTTTGCCAGAGAAAATGGTGCTACTTGTTTCTGTTATTTTATTGTTCATGACTGATGAGATATTTTATTGTAGGGGGGGCTGTTGCCCCACTTCCGAGCCAGTTCTTCTATTGTAACCTCGAAAAAAAAATATTTTTTCTCTCAATTTTCTGGTATACTTCCTCCTGTCCTTCTTATTAAATTCAGGAATTTGGCCTTTTTAGATCTGAGTACAAGTGGGTCCTGCCTACTCTACCAGGTCTTTTAGAGCCTTCTTCTACCTCTGAGTGGCAGGAAGTACCACTCCCTCATACTGCTGCTCTGAGACTCAGCCCCATGCCTTGTAAACTGTATTAGCTGCTGTAATGTAACCAGGCTGGCTCTGTTGCTTGTATATATATATATATATATATGTGTGTATTCTGAGTGAGAAGGGGACATAGTCTCCTCATGTTGTGCAGCATGTACCTACACACTAGGGTTGTTGGAGCAATGTTGGTGGTAAGGGAGAGTTGGCTGTTGAGTGTCAAACATTTCCTTGCAGTCTGGTTGGGGGTTCCTAAGACAAGGTTCTGACACAGATACTCTCCAAGTTACCTGGTAGGTACAGTCTGTTAGGTAGAATGTGAGCAGGGAGAATGAAGAGCCTGAGACACCCAGATCCTGAAGACAGGAAAAAAGGATCTGGTGGTACTTTGTCAAATGCAGCAGAAAGGTCAAGAAGGATGACCTCAGAGGAGAGATAGGCTGCTCGAGCTGTGTGAAGTTGCTCAGAGACAGCAAGGAGGGCAGTCTCAGTTGAGTGGCCTGCCTTGAAATTTGTGAGGATCAGGAAGGTTGTTCTGGTGAAGATAGTAAGACAGTTGATTAAAAATAGCAGGGCTCAAGTGCTTTGGAGAGAAAAGGAAGAAGAGAGACAGGTCTGTAGTTTACTTCAGATGGGTTGAGGATGGGCCTGTTGAGGAGAGAGTTCACTCTTGCCTCTTTAAGAGAGTTAGGGAAATGGCCAGTTGACAAAGAGGTGTTAATGAGATAGGTGAGAAAAGGAAGGTCGGGGCAATAGACTGGAGAATGTGAGAAGGGATGGGGTCAAGGGGACAGGTGGTTGGGCGGGCAGAAATTACCAGGGTAAGAACTTGATAAGGAGACAAGAGGATGAAATAGAATAGAGTAGGGGATGAAGATGTGTGTGTAGTTACGGCGGTTCATGGGATTGTTAACCCCTGATTCTATACTGCTCGTGTGTGTGTGTGTGTGTGTGTGTGTGTGTGTGTGT